TGTAAGGATGTGGGTCTCACAGCGGTCTGACTGGTTAATTTTAAGGACTGCTTTAGCATTTTTGCATGTTTGAGCTATTTTACATATACTTTACATCGCTGCAAACCATTCTTCAAAGGTTTCTGTAAATGTTTATTTCATTTAATAACTGTTATGGATAAAATCTGCAAATACGGTCAGAAACAGTCGATGGGCATTTGTCCACACTACATTTGTGTACAGCAGTCACTTTGGTTATTTAATGGTATTAATTCCTTATCTTAAGTATATTAACTTCTCTTATTAAATTAAATCAAGTTGATCTGAGCCTCAAATAAGCTAAAACTAAGGTGTGCCCCGCAGATAACACTGGTGTCCTTTGGAATATGGTTAGTAATTATGTAAAGTGTATGTTGTTTGTGCTCCTCGGCGGGACACACACACAGACACACAATGACAGTGTTAACATATGTAATATGTATGGTATGCATAATTTTATTCCTTGAACATGTGATTGCAGTTGTAATAGTTGCTTTGCACATCATTTCTCACAGTTTTTTCAGCCCAGCAATGTCAGTATTGCTGTGGAAACTCCTTTAATAACAAATCTTTGCGTGAACTCGAAAGTGCTTGGAGTATGTGTGGTGATTCTATCTAATGCCAGACTTTTTACATAACCAAATGCTGCTGGGTGATGTCGTCTCGCATTCATCAGGCATGTGTCAGGCTGAACTTTGGCTACAGCTTCCCAGGGCATCATCAGCAGACTGGGCTTTATAGACCAGTGCTGTAGAACAAGCTGTGGGGAGACAAACTAATGTCAGACTGTTAATTCTAAAATTGTGGGCCCACTTAGATAAATTGCATATTTACTTTGTGATCTTGATGAAAGGTAGTACTGCATGCATTATCCTGGGTCTGTGGAGTTATACCTCACAAAGCTCCATTTTTATCAGCCTGATTTTATGCCGATTAGCTAATGTCATGTTTAAAGTTGCCACTATCATTATGCATAAGAATTTAAATATTGTGCTGTATTAGTGAGTCATAAGGAAGTAGGAGGTTTTGGCTGTGGTTAGTATTCTGTCTATATCTGTGTAATTCAGCTTACTCTAACAGGTATTCTGCTTTGTTTAAAGGCGTCACAAGCATGCCCTCAGCCCTAAGTTCCCAGTCCTCCATAGACAGCGAGCTCAGCACATCAGATGACTCAATCTCAATGGGATACAAGCTGCAGGATCTCACAGACGTCCAGATCATGGCTCGTTTACAGGAAGAGAGTGAGTGTAGAAAGGTTATAGCATTTTGAGTGGCATCAGCTGATTATTTGCATTTCTAGACGTCAGAGTCTCATCTGAAAAACTGAGTTTTGCTTGACTTTTAAGTTGTTTCATTTTGACCTGGTTTTTCCGGCTCCAGGTCTGAGGCAGGATTGTGCTTCTAGCTCAGCATCTGCATCGCGCCGCAGCTCCACAGCATCTCTGCAGTCCTTGCGCCGGGGCGGTACGTACAGCGACCAGGAGTTTGACACTTACAGCCTGGAAGATGAAGAGGATGACTTCTCCATGCCCCAGCGACGGCATCGTTTCACCCCTTCGCCATTAGGCTCACCACGGTGCCTCTCTCCCTCGACTTCTAACCACGGTCAGGAATACAGCAGCCATCTCAGGGCCCCACGCACAAAAGGACCCAGGCGGTCTCTCCAGGGCCCCAGTGCAGAGCTGCTTAAATTTGCAAAGAGTGAGGGTAGGCTATAACCAGTGATACTTAAGCAGTTTTACTCTAGACAAGGAACAGCCATGGAGATTCTTCTGTTGTGACAATATACATTTGATTGTAGTTAAGTGTGTGTGTGTGTGTGTGTGTGTGTGTGGTTCCAGAGGAGTTGAGGCACAGCATGCCTAATCTGGCTCCCCGCACCAGCCTACGTTCCCTGGAGGCAGTCAGAAACAGCCGCAGCATGGAGGCTAACCTCCAGAGCTCTGGCAACCGCATGTCTCCCCTGACTCACTCCCCCTCCACAGGTAACCCCTCCTCACCTGGTCCCCACCACTCCTTAACATACTTTGTCCTACATTTCCTTAGAGATAACTCTTTGTGGTGTCACTTTAATCCTACAATTTAACCTGATCTTCACCTCTGCATGATCACAGGAAGAGTTTGACCAATATATATGTCTTTGAAGATCATGAGCAATGTTGCAGCACAGGGCCTGTTTTTATTTAGGAATAGGAATTAGGAATATATTCTATTATTTATCACTCTAACTCTGACAGTACCATACAAGCCATCATCTATAGGTTTTCACTGGATACTTGGTACTTTTTTAGTACCTACTCGGCTGGGGTTCCAAGCGATCTACGAGGTCACATCCAAATGTGACCTCAGCAGATTGCACGTCACCAATTGGCTAATCAGCGGCGTCACTTGAAGAGTCATGGGAGGGTCTACATCATAAAAAGGAAACTTTTCATGAAGTTTCCTTTTCAAAACCCGCCAATGAGGAAAACGGCTACAAAGAAACGACACTGCGGTCCACGAGTCTGATGAAAAGCCACAGACTAAGCAGCAGGTATAGCATCACCTCGAGGTGCTACTTTGTTGTAAAAATCGTGTCGCGTACAAGTGATGTCACGGGATGTTTACCCGTGTTGCTATAACGACCCCATGCACATTAGGTGGTACTCAATTGTAATGGAATACGGTTCGCGTCAAGCCGATCCGAGCAGGTACTAATGGAAAAAGGGTATACACTATTGGTCACAGCTACTTGCAGTTCCACAGTTCTTTCCTCACCCTCTTCCCTGACATCCCCAGGTAACTTCCTTTCCACTCACCTGCTACATCACTGCACCACTACTCTGATAATTCAGTACTGTTTCGCTAAGCTTGTCTACAACTTCCGTGTACAACAAATGGCCTTACAGTAGCTTTTATTTACTGAAATTGTCTTAACGAAGCCATCTGGATTGAGATTTGGTTCTGTCACTCAAGGTATGGTTTGCAGTCGGCTCCGAAGCAGTGGCCAGTCTCCTCTCTCCCTGCGGACTCCAGTTAAAGCCGTCACTCCCGTGGGCTCTTTGGCAGGTGGTCGTCAGACTTCCAGAGGCCTACCAGTTGTCCAAGGACAACAGGCAGGAGGGAGCCGCAGGGTCCAGTCGCCAGGTTCTGCTAATGGAGGAAGCTACGTGCCCGGCAGGGCTTCAGTTGGAACCGGGAGGCCCGGGGTAGGACGAGGTCAGGCTGCGTCTTCAGCCTCCACTAGAAGTAAACTTTCACAGCCTCAGAGGAGGTGAGTGCTCCAAAAAAACTCTCTTAAAGGAGCTCTGTGTAATTTCAGGAAATCCCTCAGCTGCAAAGTGAACTGCAGTTAGGATTCTACTGCTCTTGGTTGCACACAGCTCATGCTTTCAGTCTGTGTGCAAACTAAGCACTAAAAACAGTGCAGTGTAGTAGTGCACATTTAAGGAATGGTGAGATGATGAGTATTTTCTATTAAGCTATAGATACTTGGTTGCTTCTGTGAATTGAGACTAAACTCCTCTTTTATTGACAGGTCTTTGGGCATGGCCAAAATCTCAGATGAGTCCTGGAAAGATGGCTGCTACTGAGGTCTCCTGGCAATGAAGGATGTTCACTGCTGCAAACATCACCCCGACTTCTCCCCGTTACCTCTAAATACAAAGAAAAACAGTCACTGTGTTCACAAATGTGTCATACAACCTCTGCCCCCCCCCCTCCCCCCACCTTATTTCAGACTGGAGCGCTGGGCTGCACTGGATTTGTAGTTAATCTCTCTCCCTCGCATGAAACACTGTCAACCCACACAAAGAGAGGATGTGTAGGCAGACAAGAAGACACGTGCACACTCGACTTGTTAATATGGACCAAATCTGAGCTTCCAGAAGATATGCTTGTGTCAACTTTACTTATTTTTCTATGGTATTTGTGAGAAACTGCTGGAATATTAAGGGGTGTATTACTGTTCTGTTGATGTAATTGATATGAAGACAGTTTAAATGAAGATTTTGCCAGTCTGTTTATTATCTGTGACTTACTCTAGATGAAGGTGCTGAGTATTGCATGCTTGGTTTTGTTTTTTTCCCTGAGCCCAAATGCCTTCTCTTCATTCCTGCAATATGAGAAAACTTTCATGTCTCCCTACAATTATCTTTGGATTTCTGGATGTTTGAGTGGTTCATAGTGAAAATTATCTTTAGATTTGTGTTGTATTTGTGTTTTGCTGTTTGCTTACACGGCAACACAATTCCTGCAAACCACACTGCCCTTACGAATTATCATAAAGAAGGAAAAAAAAAAAACATGGGTTGTGCCAAGGTGCATTAGAGCTGTAATTCCTTAATTCCAAAAGTAATTTTAGGTTGGTAAAGGTACTGTTAAAGAGTTTTCAAAGCATTTTTACTGCATATCTACGTTTCAATTTTAGTGTCTGTCGTTGGGAAACCCACTAATAACAAATGTTTATGCACAAATGGCCTCCTGCCTTAGTCAGCTATGCACCCTCATGAAGAGTGCCTCTGAATAATTAGGAGCTGTTATGAAAACGATTAATAAAGTCTACCCTGAAACTCTAAATGCACTTCTGGTCATATTTAATCCATGCATGTTAAATCGTGGTCTGTTCTGTATGAAAGGCTAATTAGTCACACTATGCAGCACAAGCAATAGCAGCGGCAGTACCGTTACCATGTCCCGGATATTTCCTGGGTGCTTACCAACCACTTCTCAAATGAGTGCTCAACTACTACCCACCCCTTGTGACAAAATGGCCTACAGGCCTCATCTTCGCAGGCAAAGTCTGAGCGCACACAGTACAAGCACATAAATGTTTATTTTATTTGTTACTGTGGTAATGTTTGAATTTCGCTCCTCTAGGCCCGCTTTAAACATGTCCCGATTAAGAGAATGACTGCGTTAATATAACTCTGCTCTCTTATGCATGACGCAAATAGTAAGGGATCAGCGGTAAACGAGGCCACGCATTGTCTGCCCCCCGCCCTCCCTCTGCTTGTCAGGAAGCAAGCTGATTGGCCGAGGCCTAGCAAAGAGTGCCCGGGGATCCAAAACTGCAGGCCGCACTTAGCTTACCGTCAAAAATAAACCAAAAAAATAACAGACAAATCCGAGAAGGGGGAGAAACGCCGATAGAGTCAGAAGACAACGTTATCAGGTAAAATTATTCTGAGTCGATCAAAAACGAGTGTGGAATAAGACGCATGGGCCCAGTTGGACGTAGCGGGCCTCTTTCAGCCTTTTCGAAAAACAACATGGAAGATAATGCGGCACAAGCTGCACCACCTAGCTTAGCAGGCTAGCTAGCTGACCGGACGGCAGTCGCCGCACAAAACACAGCGAAATGCAAAACTAGTGATCTCATTGGTCATCATAGTTTGTTGTGTGAGTTTGGGACTACATGTGCATTATAACGTTATGTGTAACCGTTGCTTACGTCGACGTATTGGACTGGTTATCGCGCTCCTTGAATTAGCCTTTATGCTAAAACAAAATGGCGCTTTGAGACTCAGTCCTAGCTTCCTTGCTAGTTAGCTCCGGTGGGTGGAGGGCGGTAGCCATTGCATAACTGTGGTAGTTTCAGTGGCGGCCATAAACTCGAGAGCATATGTGATTTTTGTGTAGATACTTAACACTACAGTACTTCAGAAACGATTAATGCAACGGAACTGCATTTGTTGTTTTTTTTACCCTAAAAGGATAAATATGTGAAAACTAACAGCCACAACACTGCTACAGACCGCTGTAAACACATTTGCTTCATTTTAAATCGTCATGTGACGACAGTGCATTTCCTCCCACGAAATTAAGCAGGAGTCCTTATCCAAAAGCTATCAGAGCCGCTGCATGCGAGCTCGCCCGCCCTGCACACTGAGTCTTTTGTCTCTGCTGCGCTCCGGCCATCAGGCTCAACCAGCTCCAGGTGTATATAGCGATCTGTCCTCAGGTTGAAGATGCGTGTAGTACCCCTGATTGGCAGTAGAGGGAGGCAGTGGTCAACAACAACAACTGTCCACGGTTTAAAAATAAGTTTGTCTTCTGTATTTAAGGCTTACGGAGGTAGATTTTGCAATAGAGACTAGTGCTTTTCTTATGAACCCAACGCCAAATATTTGTGCATTTCTGCAAAAAATGAACAGCTGGTGTTCAGTTATAATCCCAAGCTCATGTGATAATTTTCTTTTCTTTTACTTTGTCAGAATAATTCAGTATCTTGATGGAAGGAAGCACATCAGATATCCTGTTGGTTTTATTGTAAAGATTTTCTGTCGTCAAATGTGAAGGTATGTAATGCTAACTGCATTTTTTTCCCTTTCGGTTTTATTGTTAGCAGTGTATATGAAGTAAAGGTTAATGTAATCTGTGCTGCAATTTTCAGTCTGTTTTTACGGAGTGAAGACATGGATCAAGGAGGAGGGGTGTTAGAGCTGCACACTCAAGAGCTGAAGATGCCCCATGCTATGATCATGCAAGATTTTGGTAGGCGAATTAGCAAGAGAAATTAATACACATGTTTTATTTGGCATTTAGCTAGAGCAGGGCGATATGACCAAAATATTTATCACGATATACATTTGGAAATTTGCGATAACGATATAATTGACATAAGACAAAATACTTTACAACTCCACAACTTCATTAGTGCAAAAAAACCAAAACATCAATGTATTTTCACTTAAACAAGCAGCTGTTTTTTCATGTGCATTAAAGTTATATAAAAATTTAACAGTGCAAATGCAAATTCCTTGCTGACAGTTTAACCAAAAGGCATTTCCAGTGGAAATTGGCCAACATATCCTCAGCATAACCATGTATAATATCCACAAAACTTAAAAAGAGGTTATACACACACAATACGGTAATATTATGTTGAAGCACTACGTATCACTCCGCGAGGCTCCTGCCTACGATAGCCGTGATGCTCCGACAATCCATCAAGCGGTGCGGCTTCGTAGCTTAGCAAAGTCGTACTGAAACATTTGACAGATTTTCGAGCCCCGTGTACCACATAAAATCGTTTCGAGGTCAGTAAACACAACCAGAATTCATACATAAGGCACACGGGATTCTAAGTGGCACTGTCGATTTTCAGAAAAATCAAAGGATTGATTTTAAGTGTGCCGTATTTTCCAAAAAACACGATAATAGCGACGGCCCGCTAGCATGCTCTACCAAAAATAGTTCTTTGTTGTGTATCTGACAGACAAAAGCTAAACCAGTTCCACACCACTGAAATTGCAGCATTTTTGCAAACCAATTCTGGTTCACCCGTTTCATTCAACGATCCGGTTTCGCTCTTCTTATTCTCCGTCGCCGCCGTGCTTTTTCTGCCATGTGCGTATAAAAACAAAGGCACTGCGCATGCATGTTTTACCCATATTGTATCGCGATATTTCATTTTCGTATCGCTGCCCAACATTATACCAGTATTACCATGAACATATGATGGCCCAGCCCTACATTTCGCTAATATTTAGAGACCAATTTCCCAAAAGGCGTAGGAAACCTGAGTGTCAAGCTAAATAAGGAAGTCAAAGTGACATCACATTGTCATTAGCAAATTTTTATCTTATACTAACAAAAAATGACACACTTTCACAATTATTTGACTAATATCAAGCTTTAATTGTGATTTTTAAAAACTCTTTATATCATCAGTTGCAGGCATGGGGGGTCTGGCTCACATTGATGGGGAGCACATTGTGGTGTCGGTGCCAGAGGGTATGCTGCTTTCTGATGTCATGACAGACGAGGGCATCCTCCTGGAGCACGGACTTGAGGTGGAAGGTCTGGAGACTCAAGTTGTTCAAGGCCTGGAGACGGAGGTAGTGGAGAGCTTACATGCAGATGTAGAAGGCTTGGAGGCAGAAGTTGTTGAAGGGCTACAGACACAGGTGGTAGAGTTAGAGGCTCAGGTTGTTGAGGGCCTAGAGGGAGAAGTGGAAGTGGAGGGTCTCGAGGCGCAAGTGGTGGAGAGCCTGGAAACTGAGGTTGATGTGGAAGGTCTGGAAGCCCATGTTGTTGAGGGCCTTGAAGAGGAAGTGGAGGTGGAGGGCCTAGAAGCTGAGGTCGTCGAGGGGCTGGAGGTGGATGTGGAAAGTCTGCAGTCTCAAGGTGTGGAGGCCCATGAAATGAGCACTGAAGACATGGTGCCTTCAGAACACAGTGTAATCATGCCTGAAAATATCCTGGGGACTGAAGTTGCGATAGAGGAAGCCCTGGACGCCCATCACCACCATGTTCTGACCTCAGACCTCATACAGGACGCAAACCACCATCATGACGACATGCCAGACCAGGTGTTTGTGGCAGAGCTGCTGTCTGAACACCAGGACAACACACTGGACCACCAGCTTGTGTCTGAAGGGTTGATGGTGACCGAGGCCAATGCCGAGACCATAATCCACGAACAGCTGCCAACTGAGGCTGTTCCCCTACAGACAGATGAGGATGATGATGCAAGGAGTAGCTCCGAGGATTACCTGATGATCTCCTGTAAGATATCTTGGCACATAACACGGCAAAGATTTTTTATAAAGTTAAATATTTTGCATAACCATTGGTATTTGTTTTTGTTTTGTTTTTTAAAGTGGATGAAGTGGGAGAAAAGTTGGACATAGGGGACACTCCCCTTGAGATCAGCACTGAAGTAATGGAAGACAAAGACTCCAAAGAGGAGGATGGCTCTGAGGTCATAAAAGTCTACATCTTTAAAGCTGAAGCAGATGATGATTTGGGTAAATGATCTTCAGTACAGTACATCCAGCCATGTTTGTGTTAAAAGTCATATGGCTCATTGAGTTTTTGTTTTTTGTTTTTTTTTCAAGGTGGGACAGAGGTAATAACAGAGGATGATTACCAGAACGGCCATCCTGATTTGGAAGCAGCTTCATCGGGCAGACTGGGAGTCGGCCGTGACAAAATGGTCTACATGGCAGTCAAGAACCATCCAAAGGAAGAAGAGGATGATGAGGATGACAGCGATGATGATGAAGATGAAGACATTGGTATGCCCTTTTTATGAAAGGGTTAGATGGGTAATTTTTCCTAAATTAGTAGTTTGAGATAAAACAATGTTCTATGACTGCTAAAATAGATTATTAAGAAGAAGATGCTATGCTGCAGCATTTCTGTTTAAATGAGATGATCAGCAAGATGGTTTGGGGTCAGTATGTGTGGCAAATGTGTTTAAAAGACGACTTAGCAGTCAGATGTTGTTTTAAAAAGTATCATAGTAGAAATAAGGCAAGGTCATCCATTCTGTTGTTATTGGGGTGTTATGTGTTGCAATGTCTGTGCAGGTAATACAATTGATCAAGTGAAGAATGGAGCAGCTACACCATTTTTGCAAATCCGTGAGGGACTGGGTGCAAACCGTGCTCTCAAAACCAAATCGAGGAAGAAGAAGAAAGGCGAAACACGGCAGTGTCAGACTGGTAGGATCAGCATGTCATATTGATACTGATACATACAATAAATTGATCATTTTTATCTGTGTTGTCAGCAAGTCTGAATGTATATAATTTTATCATTCACATTTGAGGAAAACTTAGAATAATAATGGTTGATTGCAATGTTGCATACTCTCTCTTTTTCAAACTTCTCTGTCCAGCTGTTATCATTGGACCAGATGGGATGCCTTTGACCGTCTACCCTTGCCACATCTGTGGAAAGAAGTTTCGCTCGCGGGGCTTCCTCAAATGCCATATGAAGAACCACCCGGACCATCTGCTCAAGAAGAAGTATCAGTGTACAGACTGCGACTTTACCACCAACAAGAAAATCAGCTTTCACAACCACTTAGAGAGTCATAAGCTCCTGAGCCACAACAATGAGCGATCTCCAGAGTATACAGAGTACGCGCGGCGCTACCATGAGTCTAGCCCACTGGGCTCAGACAAGCTCATTGTCAAGGATCGGGAGCCCAAACTGCATCACTGCAAGTACTGCGATTATGAAACAGCTGAGCAGGGCCTGCTCAACCGTCACCTGCTGGCTGTGCACAGTAAGAACTTTGCACATGTGTGTGTTGAGTGCGCCAAAGGCTTCCGTCACCCATCAGAGCTGAAGAAACATATGCGCACCCACACAGGCGAGAAACCCTACCACTGCCCGCACTGCGAGTTCCGCTGTGCAGACCAGTCCAACTTAAAGACTCATATCAAGAGCAAGCATGGCGCAGATCTGCCTTTCAAGTGCAGCCACTGTCCCCAGGCTTACGCTGATGCACGGGAACTGCAGCGCCACATAGAGATGGTGCAGGGCCACAAGACCCACCAGTGCCCGCACTGTGAGCACAAGAGCACCAACTCCAGTGACCTGAAGAGGCATATTATTTCAGTTCACACCAAGGACTTCCCCCATCAGTGTGACGTGTGCGAGAAAGGCTTTCACAGGCCCTCAGAGTTGAAGAAACACGCGGAAACACACAAAGGCAACAAAGTGCACCAGTGCCGGCATTGTAACTTCAATGCACCCGACACTTTCACCCTGAGTCGCCATATCCTATCCCTGCATACGAAGGACCTACCCTTTAAGTGCAAGCGCTGCCGGCGAGGTTTCCGGCAGCCCGCCGAGCTGAAGAAGCACATGAAAACGCACAGTGGTAGAAAGGTATATCAGTGCCAGTATTGTGAGTATAACAGTACGGACGCTTCTGGCTTCAAACGCCACGTCATCTCTATCCATACCAAGGACTACCCCCACCGCTGCGACTACTGCACCAAGGGCTTTAGGAGGCCTTCAGAGAAGAGCCAGCACATAGCCAGGCATCACAAAGACATGTTGATGTAATGTCATTGCACACAAACACACTCCTCTTTACCGAGTAAATCTGTGTCACACACACCCAGAGGTAATTTTAGTGTATTAACAAAGAAATAATGGATGCAGGCAGTTGATGAAGAAAACAACATTATAATTGCTGTTCTGTGTTCTGTGTCGTTTTGGGTCTAAACCTCCTGCCCCCAGGAGTAAATGCAAGAACACGTTTAAGGTTGGGGGTTAAATCTGGAAAAAAACAAACAAAAAAAAAGACAGTGTGTACACTGAGTGGGACAGTTGTAAATTGTCTTCGGTGGCAGAAAAAAATCACATATGAACATATATTCAGGGTTTCAAATGTCTATATTTTTATACCCACTCAGCTGAAATGCTGCAAGATGATGACTGTGTCTAGTAAAACAGAAAAGCGGTGTTTTGGGGACGTCATGCTAGTTCTCCAGATGATGTGGAACAAGTACATGAGAAGTTTGCCTCCATAGTACCAACTAGTATCTTGACCTCATGAACCAGCTTTTACCCTGACATTTATTTCTTTTTTCTTTTCTAATGCCATCTGGTCTTTAATGAACAGAGCCATTCACAAGTTCAAAATGGGTTCGTCACTGATGTTGAGACATAATGCATCTTGAAAAATATGTTTCATTAAATTTAACCGTTGAACTCACATCATTTTGGATTTTCCTCTCAACCCTGAACTCTTGGAGCCCCATTAAACGAATCGTGTATAAAACAGTATAGACTATTTTCAGTTAAATACGTCTTACAAGTTGAATCAGAAATGCTACTCTCTGGTCAGCAGAGTAGCATGGAGCAGAAGGGTGGAGTTGGTATGTTAGAATATCCCTTTAGTGTACACATCTCTGACTGGTGTATTATTATTATAATTATAATTATATATGACCTTGACAGATGGTTGGCTTCACATATAATAACCAGTGACGTGGTTGCGTGTGAATGCCACTGTAAGTACGTGTGATGTTACCTATGACACAGATAACCATTTGATAGCAATCATGCCTTACATCCGTTAATCTTTATCCTTTAAGCACTGATGCACACCGCTAATCAGAAAATAAGTGATTTTTAACTCTCAAACATGCTGTATCAATGCCATTCTCTCAGAGATTATGTGTTTGAGTCAGTAGAAAGCACTTTAATAATTTTGTTTTTGTATTTTAATGACATGTATGAGAGTTTATTATCTGGGGATATGTATAGATAAATAGATAGAAATATCCCAAGATATTAAACACATACAGAGCTTTGTGAGTGGGTAAAGGTAAAGATTGTTTTTGAGTGTTATCTCTAATGAGCGGGCAGCGATCATTACTGCATCACAACTGAATTGTCATTGAAAGTGGTAGGTGAAACCGCTTATTGTTTTGTTCTATGGATAAGTGATTGGGTTTTGTGTTTTTGTTTGTGCTCACTAACAAGTTTCCCAGACACTAGCCCTACAATCCCAAATAGCCCAACCCAGTCCCAAGCACGGGATTATTTCCTTCAAGTCATTGCTCATCATATTGGCATTAGTCTTTAAAGTATGCACATATGCTGTCTCCATGAAATTAATTGTGGTATATATTAAAAAAAAATCCCTGCATTTCGTGTACCTTAGTCTATATTTTCTTTCAGTCTGATTGTGGATAAACTACTGGTGGGGAAGAACCAAAATAAACAATTATCTTTTTACCCTTTTTGTCCTTTCTGTCTAACAAGAAGGAAATGTTAAAAGCTAACAGGGAAATTTACACATAGCTACTGTATTACCAGTAAATCAGTTTGGCTTTTCCTTATTTTCCACATCAGCGCTTCACCTAGTCTGCGTCTTGCATCCTCGTTTCTCATTAAGGTTTTAATACTCAACTTACTGCCAGGAGTACATGAAGGACTGGAGTTATAACTCGCTATTTATCCAGTTTGCATCAGTCTATGTCTTTATAGGACCTAATGATTATCTGTAGTTGTAGCTGTCTCTTTATCAGTTTCATGCACAGAGTGCATTTTCTGTGATTCAGTGATTGTACAACCATCAGGCGTTAATAGATGATGAAATATGGAGTAAGCTTCAGCAACTCAGGTCTAGAGATTGATTGCTAAAGAGAATTCAAACTTTCTCTGCTTCACGAGCTTGTCATCCCACATAATTGTGCTTAAATGTAGGATTTACTGTGAGAAGGCAGAGCAGCCCTGCACTCTCCCAGAATGTATATTTTTCCACTTGTGTCAGCACAGAGAAGCTGAAGAGAAACCTGAGCTCCCTTTGGCCAGGCTGCTTTATTTAGTTGTTTTTTTTTTTAACTACTACGTCGGGATCCTGCAACTTCAAGAGCCTCTTTAACTTGGCAAGTAGATCTGATACATACTGTACAAGCTGAGATGCTTCAAAGAGCGATCATAGCCTTGTTGGCTTTGTGCAAGGCTGAGACAACAGTGTGGGTAAAACTACCCGGCGCAGTTGCACAATCCTCAAACATGAGGTGAATCTGAAATAGTCTTCCCCAGCAGGATAGAACCACAGAAGCGAATTTTAGCTTGTTTTATGAACTCGTCGCCTAACAGTCTGCTTATATCCACATCATGTGTGGGTCACAAAACAGGTTTTGCGCGCTGAAATAAAAAAACAAAACTAATGGTCCTAGTGCAGTTTTATTATTACAGTAATTTACTGTTATTATAAGCCCCTGAAAGTTAGACAGACTGTAATAGTCTAATTTTTCAAAGAAGCTTTCTTGTCATAATAGAAATAAAAGGTTTAAGAGTGAGCCTATGTGCACAACAGCGAGGCCTTGAACCTAAAACAGCTACATTGAATTCACCCACCATTAATGTCATTACATTGTTGCTTTTCCCATTGTGGTGCTCCCAAAAGGGTATATTGTTTGCAAGTTGCTTGCAGATCTACCTGAAAGCAGGACTGACGAAAAGAACAACCCCTTCACTGTGGATCAAACACATGCTGTCACTGGCCACTTTATTAGGTACACATTCCTTGCGCTGGGTTAAATCCACATTTACATTTAGAGTTGCCTTAATTCTTTTTGGCATGGATTCCGTAATATTTTGGTCCATACTCCTGTTCCACCACATGCCATATGAGCTCTGTTGGATTGATTAGTGACTGTGGAGGCCGTTCGACTACATTGAACTCATTGATGTGTTCAAGAAACCAGTTTGAGATGATTTGAGTTTTGTGACATGGTTAACCTGCTAAAAGCAGCCATCAGATGATGGGTGCACTGTAGTCACAAAGGGATAGACCTTGCTAGGGATAGCACTCAGGCAGGCTGTGGGATATAAATGATGTTCAGCTAGTCCTGAGAGCCCAAAGTGTGCGAAAAATATCCATCACACCATTACACCACAACCTTTGATGGCAGTATGGATTCATGCTTTCATGTTGTGATGCTGCCAAATTCTGACCCTACTATCAGACCAGGGAGCGTTTTTCAAATCTTCTGTTGTCCAGTTTTGGTGAGCACGTTTGATCTGTAGGTTCAGTTTCCTGTTTTTAGCTGTCAGGAGTGGCACAAGCTGTGGTCTTCTACTGCTGCAACTCACCTGCTTCAAGGTATTATGTGTTATAGATTCATAGATGCTCTTTTGGATAACTTAGTTGTTAAGAGTGGTTATTGGAGTTACTCTTGCTCGAAGCAGTTTCGGCAGCAAGCAGCAGGATAGATGCACCTATTCTTCTGCAGATACCCCTTATTCTCCTGGTTGCTGAATGTAGTTCTTTATAGATCCAACTATATCAAAGGATTGTGTCTCTTTTTCTTCCTTTTTTTTTTTTTTTTTTTACATTTTTGAGGTCAGAATTAGGAGAATTTGGGAAGGGAAAGATCTGTAATGAATAGTGATGAATGTTGAACCACATTCATCAGAGACATTAATATTTAAGTGAGAAGATTTAATTTGTTTTGGGAGAGAAAGGGGAAACCGCCTCATTTGAAAAAAAAATTACTAAACTATCCACTTAAAGAGGGAAAAGGAGCAACTCAGGAACAAACTGATTCAATAAAAAAAGTTTGGAAAGGTTGTGCGAGGGTGGCTGAAGGGAGTTGACTTTCCTGATTAAATATCCACTTTGATTTAATTATAGTGTTGTGTAGCTATCAGAGTGATTGCTGTCAGCCCTGAGTCATTATTCAATGGTCTCATTATTAAGCAAACAAAAGCATCTTCAGGCTTTATGGAGTACCACAGACGATTTACTTGCTCAGCTGAACGATGACGTTTATTAATACATAAAAAATCTCCGTGACGTGTGTTGAACACATATCTCCTGTCGTGAAGGATCGATGATGCTTCTTAGTGAGGGAGATGAGGGTATGCAGATGGGTTTACGCCGCCACCACAAACACCTAAGCGAAATGGATGCAACAGCTTGACCATTTTGGTGAAATCCACAAAATATCTCATAAATCACTCACAGGTGCGGCTGTCAGCAGAAACTGCTGAGGATGCAGAGATCAATATGCAGACAAATCCTCCCTGAGTTAACCGTTCTTTTGTCACGGCATCACATCGTCTGCCAATTCAGCACGAGGAGCCTGTCGAGTTGTTTTGTTTTTTTTATTCTGAATTCGTACTTTTTGAGCAACAGTAAGCACATTTTTCCCTTTCCTGCCTAAGTACGCTAAACCTCTGCCTCTCTCTCCCACGGGTGTGCGAGCCACTTCTCTGCCCATTTTAAATCAGCGGAGCATCAAACACACGCAGAGTACACCTAACAGCCTCAGACGGCCATCAGTGTTATGAGAATTGACAGACGTACACAGATAATCCAACCGTCGCAGAAGGTCAAACTAATTTATTTGATGTAGTCATTTTTGTTCCTAGTTTTCAGGATCAGTGTAGATGTCTGTTGCATAGATGTGATTGGAATGATGAAATGGGCAGTACGAGGAAGGGGGGGAAAGGTTCTGATTCATGCACAAATACTGTATTTATATTAATCAGTCATTTTCAGTCGCTGGCATGGTTCAGTAGGAGTTAATAACTCCAAATATTTAGATGTGGTTCTGCACTGGAGCGTTTTATGTTGGATATAATTTAGTCTGGACTCCACAGGACTCTGGTGTTAGGCAGCATATTGCTGTTGCATATTTCAGTGAAGATGAACAGCAAATGGAGCCGGGACCGCTTCATCAACTCATTTCATTGGCAGACAGCACTGCCACATTACCTCCATATCCTGTGGTGGCCCACATAACGGGAGTTGTCCAATCCAGACTGTTGCGTGAGGCTGCTGTGCAGAAAGCCAGCTGGAGACCAAAGGCCCTCGGGGAAATTACTGCCAGATTGCTTGGAAAGAGGCAAAATTGGCCTGCTTATTTGTCAGTGAAGGATCTGTGTGGTGGACACAGCCGAAATTGAAAAGACAGGGAGAGAGATTAGGTAGCCTGTTGACTACACGAGTCTGTGCTACCTACTGGCGTCTTTAAACTTTGGTGATTACTCAGTAAGAAATATGTTTAAAAGCTGGGAAGTGCAATTATAATTTCAGATGACATTTTTTTCTACTTGACTTTAATGATGATGATGAAGCCCCATAACAGTCTAGTCTGTGCGGTGGGATAATTTCAACATACCAGAAAGTTAAGGGTCAATTCTTTGAATGCAACATTTTCTCACTGGTTCAATAAAAGGAAAGGTTGATCTGGGCTTTTTAATATGGTGTGTTATTCTGCTAGAAGCAGCCATCAGAAGAGCGGTACACTCTGGCCACAAAGGGATGAACATCAGCAGCAATGCTCAGGCAGATTTTGTTTTTTAAATGATGCTCAGCTGGAACCAAGTGCACACAGTGGACCAGTGTGCAGGGAAACATCCCTCACACCATTACCCCACCAGCAGCAGCAGCCTTAAACATTGATGCAAGTCAGTATGGATTTGTATTTTCATGTTGAGTAAACCTAATTCTGACCCTTCCATCTGAGTTTGCAAAATTTGAGATTCATCAGAGCAAGCAAGTCTTCTGTTGTCCAATTCTGGTGAGCAAACTATAGCTTCAAGGTTCCTGTTCTTAACTGACAGAAGCGGCACTCAGTGTGGTGCACATGTTCTGTGTTCAGAGATGCTCTTCCGCATACGTTGGTTGCAACACTGTATGCGGAGGAGCTACTTATGGCTTTCTATCAGCTCAAAACAGTCTAGATATTCTCTCTGACATCTGGCCTCAACAAGGCATTCTCACCCAGGGAACAGCTGGATACTATCTCAGGGTTTTAAAACCTGCAAAATGCACTCGTGATATTGTATAGATGCATGCCTTTACGCTATAAAATAGATGATTCAGTAAATACCACATCTATTTGTGACCATGCACTCTGTGTCTTACTTTATAAGACACATATATGGGCTGCTGGTGGGTTCTAGTTTCAGTTTCATAGCCGTGCAAGCCGCATGGTCGCATCACAGTAACTCGGATCTCAGCTGAGCACAGAGAAGCTTTTCACCTTGCAGAAGAGCAACAGTGAGCCAAACTGTGCTTGTAAATCATTGTGCACAGCGAGGTTCAAATGCGCAGATTTCTGAGTGAAAAGGTATTTAGACTACAGCGCACTATCTCCAATAACAACTCTTTATATCTTTATAATCAGAATTTAAGTTGTTAGTAGTGTTTAGGAAAACTGTTTCCTTTAGAGTGCTCACTAGATGTCGCTGTTATCCCATCCCTCTCGCGCAAAGTGACCACACTGATCACTGCGAGCGGTGCCAAAAATGATGGCATCAAACAATATAAGAATTTATTAGATTTATAAGAAGCGGGAGGGTTTGAATGTGACCCTGGCAAATATAAGGTTCGGGCAGTGGTGCAGTTTGGCGTTTAGATGGCTGTCAGGTCTAGCTCACTGATAAAAACCGACCCATTAATAGACCATTATAGGACAACTTGGAGTCAAATCGCACAATCATAACCGCGACTCCACTGGGAAAATCACGGAAAGGTGCTGTCGGCTTGTTCTTGGAAGACTGGGTGTTTTTGAGCTGAATCACGGCAGAGGCGCGTCACCGTGGGGCGTGGTTAAGCGTAAGAGATAAACGCCGTGTCCACCGTTACGATGCAGTGAAGTTACAGTTTGGCACGAGACGACACCGGAGCGGAGAGTCTGAGCAGCTAACCAGCGCGCGTAAAGGGATGGAGACAAATGAGATCTTTTTAGTTACTGTCATAGCCTCTCACTACATTTGGAACTTCGTCTTCTTCGCGTGGATTTTATCAACAATTGAACCTTTAGACCCGGACTGCTATAAAACGCATTGTTGAAGTTCTGATCCTGTTTGCGCCAGGACACCCAAACGACATTAGACCAAGAGAAGTCGTAATGAGTAGTTGTGCAAATGGTGCATTTTCTGACCAGAGAGCTGGTACGGAAAGCAGAATTTCATGCTCAAGCTACACGTCTACCTGCGCGTAAAGGACATGGACACATCGGCTCCAGTCGCCGCTTCCTGAATCCCTGCGCTATGTTTTAGTAAGTAAATGAAAAAGCTGTAGTTAGATTAGAAGCAGTGTGGCAGCTTAAAGCATTTATGCGAGCTTTTTTCTTATTTTTACGCGCTGACAAATAGTGCAGCGCTCCAATAGCACAGGACCTGAAATTTGGCAGCCAAGCAGCCCACACCATTGACCGTGAAAGGCTGTGCTGATCCCGATTTGAACTTTAACTAAAACAAGTTAAAACAAGTAAAACAAAGTTGCATCTAAGTGGACGAGCGTGGCAGGAGGGGAACATGGCTTTGCCAGATAGTGGCATATCTGCAGAGGAGATACCCTTTCCAGAGATCATAGAGCTCAATGTCGGTGGGCAGGTGTACATAACCCGCTACTCTACACTCACAAGCGTGCCAGACTCTCTGCTGTGGGAGATGTTTACTCAAAAGTCAGCCAAAGGACTGGCCAGGGACACAAAGGGGCGCTTCTTTGTAGACCGTGATGGTTTCCTGTTTCGTTACATCCTGGACTACATGCGCGACCAGCAGCTGGTCCTTCCAGACCACTTCCCAGAGCGCGGTCGTTTGCAGAGAGAGGCTGAGTTCTTCAACCTACCAGAGCTCGTCAGGCTTCTGGCACCCAAAATCAGCAAACAGAACTCCCTTGGTGATGAGGGATGTCCTAGTGACACAGAGGACTCCTCACCTGGGACTGACACCTCCCGTAACCTCAGCTCTCTGGGTGCTGCTGCTGCTGCCTGTGCCAGCCTGGTGCCCGGCGCCATGGATGGCAAACGTTCTGGGTTCATCACCATTGGCTACCGAGGCTCCTACACCTTGGGACGCGACAGCCACACGGATGCCAAATTTCGCCGAGTGGCACGGATCATGGTGTGTGGGAAGACCTCCCTGGCTAAAGAGGTGTTTGGGGAAACGCTGAACGAGAGCCGGGATCCGGATCGCCCCCCTGAGCGCTATACATCCCGCTACTATCTCAAGTTCACCTTCCTGGAGCAGGCTTTTGACAAGCTGGCAGATGCAGGCTTTCACATGGTGGCCTGCAATTCCACAGGAACCTGCGCCTTTGCCCACGAGCAGACGGACGACAAGATCTGGACCAGCTACACTGAATATGTGTTCTACCGTGAGTGAGACTATCGGCTTTGTTTCCCCGGTCCCCTCACCCTGTATCCAAGAACCCCCCTCCCCCTCCAGCCTCCAGCCATCCTGTCTTTCTCTCTCTGATGGCTTCTGAACCAGTAGATGTACTGTAGATGTTGTGCCCTTCCATCTCTCTTTACAGCCTCCAGCTTTTATCCTGTGAACAGTACCTGGCCGCTGCTCTGACTCTTCATACCTTCTCTGCAGATCGAGCCTTCCCCTTCAACCCCGAATTCACCCTCCCCCCAATCCTCAGGCCAAGCTTTTGCCCTTGCTTAAGCCGCCGCCTCTCCATCTAGTTGTAGTCCCCAGCCCTGAACAACAGCAACCCCACAGCCTTTCCTGCAGAGACTGATACCTTCTATTTCCTTTTTGTACTCTCTATATAGTGCATATGCCTTGGTTAAAGCACAATACTGTATCCAAGAGCTAATTTTGTTGAATAAAAAACACCAGTGTGTCTATATGACTACTGAACCAGTCATAAGGGCATAAGGGAAAGGGCTTCAAAGAGTTGCCGTGATGTACAGTGCTATATTTTGCCTGCTTACTCAAGCAGATCGGACTGTCTCCTGCTCCTTTGAACTAAATTACCAAATAATTGGACATCTTATCAGCCTTGAGGGACGTGAGAAACCCCAACACACACACACACGCACACACACAAAGGAAGTGTAATCTAATTTCCTTTAGTTTTTATTAAATGTCCAGTACCATGTCCGTGTGGTTTGGGAACGTGCCATAGTTAATCTGTTCTGCTGCTTTGGAGTGAATAGAAAAGAAAAGACTGCAGTGAAGTTATTTTTTCAGAAAAAGCAGATTGAAGTTGTGCAGAGGTTCCCCCCCCCAAAAAAAAAAAGAAAGAAAGAAAGAAAACGGGTTGTGTGGCAAATGTTGAAAAACTATTAAATCTCAAATATCAAGAGATCTTATAGACAGACAACGAGAGAGGGGGGAAAAAAAGGTGTGTGTATTGACTGTGCAGTGGAGCTTTCAGTATTTTAATCACCCACACTTATAGGGCAGAGAAGATGGAAGGTGTTGATTCACTCATGGTCCACTGCTCTTTTTTCATTTATTGTGCTTCTTTGAAATTTATTTGTTCAATTACATCTTAAAGATAATTATTTTCCACAGCCGGTCACATGTCAGAATGGGCTTACACATTGCTTCCTGTTATTTGCGTGAGAAGAAATCAGCAGTCATCACAGCAGATCTTTGGATGTCCCGTAATCAACAATGTTATTCTTAATACTCAGTATTAGCTGAAGCGGCTGCGTATTTGACTATAGCTCACTCCTTCTGTAAGTGAATACCAGCGAGAAAGGGTAGGATTTGCTGTAGCCAGCCAAAGCCCAGTGTTTTCTCACCACTGTAGCAATGGCAGCTTATAGTGAACGCGTGTAACCGTCAGTAACTCACAGTCGGCTCAAAAAGGAGCACAAGATCCAGATACAGCCTCAGGACGGGTCTGCACATCATATACCTCAGACTAACATAAACGTGGGACACTTTAATCCAACAAAGGATTCATCAGATTACAGGAAAATGCAGAAATGGCTCAAAATGAGGACAAATAAGAGGTTTTCGTTTAAAACTGTTCGGGGAACAGGCAGCGCAAGGCAGAGTTCACCCGTGCGACAAGGTGTCGACTTTTTAGTGTGTCTGACAGTTGTAATAAATGTATTCTGAAATGTCTAGAAATTGCAATATTGTGTTTCAGTGTGATGAAGTGTTGTTGACATCCGAGTCAGTCTGTTAGACCCTGCTGCAGTGTGTCGCTGCAGGCATAGACAACACTGATATTAAAAGTGTTCCACCAAACGCAAATTGATTTGTCAAATAAAATATGCTTTCTTTCTATCCTGCTTGTATTTCCATTCCTAACCCCCAAAAAGGGGGGTTATTTCTTTTTTTCTTTTTTTCTTTTTGAATATCAGGGAGCACAAAGTATGATGAAAATAGCACATTCCCATTACCGCAGTTTCACATTTTAATTTTCGGTGACAATGCAAGTCAATCACAAGTAAAGCCATTCAAATTTTCATCTCAGCGTTTCCCATCAGAGGGAATGTCCTTGGACACAAACTCTCCTCCGTGTGAAATTTTCAGCCCTCAGGCACCATCCTTCCATCTGCTTTTCCACTTTTTTTTTTTTTACCCTCTTTTTTTCTCTTCAGCCTGGACTTGCGTGGAGCATTTGACCAAAAAATCTGAGCCATGATAGAAACGAGGACATGCACAGATAACAGGCCTTGTCCAAGCAGATTAGAAAACCCTTATTTTGTTGCCAATAATTGACCTAATTTCTGTGTGCAGTCAAAATCTTAAAGATTGAATCTAAATTTCAAGACTCCGTAGTATTTACAACCTCCCGCAGAGCAACAGTTTATCCATTTCTGAGAGACTAGAAATCATTTTTGTGTGTCATCAATAAAAAACAACAGCAAAATACAATATAAGTACAAAGTATTTTCATTGAGGGCAAAGGTGTCATAACTTACACTCGAACAACAACCAGACTTAAGGGTTATGTATGCGAGGCAGTCACGTGTCATTTTATAAACTCTGTCTCAGAAGTTCTCTACCGAGCGATTATCTCATGCTAATTATCTTAGTATAAGACCTCGAAACCTGATCTCACTCTGGCCTTGATAAAAGCATAGCTAATGAGCTTCACAAAACTTTGTGAAAAATTTATGTTGCTCTCTAATTCAGGGAGAAAAAAAAATTATCCCCCCCCTTCCTGCTCTGGAATGCATGACAAATCCTCAGAGACCAGGACAATACTGTGCCTGCAGTGTCTCTCCAGCCCAAATAAACACAGTCACAGGCAGCATTCCTCTGTCACTGTCCTCCGGCGGACTACAGCAACACGGGCGTGCCAAGGTCAGTCATTAGCGCAAACATGGAGAAACATGCCTTCGTGTGAAATTTCAGGCACTGGCCTCCCTAACCTCTCCTCCTCTCGTCAGCGCAAATTCCTTGAGATTCAACATTCAGCAGCAGCGAGATGCGTGGAAGCGTTGACATTCAGACGCTGACATTCAGAGCAGCAAGGTCCACAGGCCAGACGAAATGTGCGCGGTGAAATTCAGTGGTGTTTTTTTTCTTTTTTTTTTAAATGTGTCTTGTGAAACATGTGGTTGAAAAGTGTAGCATTGTCTGCTCGTGTGCTTGCAAAGGCAGCAGGTTCTCACTGTGTCGCCACGGTATGCCTATTCATATTCAGAGTGTCATAATAAAGATATTTTACCATGACCTTTTGCTTCTTCATGTTTTGTGGGGGAAAACGCAGCAGATTGCAAAATTTCAGCTTGTCACACAACAAATTATCAACTGAAATCAATCATTTGTTGTTTCAAGCGCAGATTTTCACATTTATGAGGACTCATTTATCACTAAAGTCGAAGGATTCGAGAATGAGTGCGAGACTGGCTTCTCTGCGTGCCTTCAGGCAGTGATTTGACCCAAGCTTTTGCTACTGTAGGCTGCTCTACATGACAACATGCTTTGGCCCCGTCTCTTTTCCCTCTCTGAGGATGATCCTTGTCTCGGAGCCAGCTGGGTCATTGCATCCTCTATTTGGAAAAAGAGGGGAAGAAGGCAGAAGAGAACAGGAACAGATGCACGTCAAAGGAAATGGGGATTGGAAAATGGGGCACAGAGAGATAGATATTTGGGAGACCGCGGGAGTATTTATTTGACAAGGATTCGGTGTTCCCATCTGATCTCTCTTCCTGTTATTTGGAGAAGGGGAGGACTGTGCTGTAAGATGCTCCTCTGCGGCCTGTCAGCTCCATCAACACCCCCAAAGAGATTCAGTCACACTGCACCCAAGGGATACACTGCAGAATCAAGAGCGCACTCAGTATAGTTGCTATCACTATCAATCTGTAGCATAAAACCAGCACAAATGGGGGATTGTTGATCTTCACCATAAGGAAGAAACAGTATTTTTTATCATCTGTTTGTGATTCATGAACTTCACCATTAAGCTGACTAAACTTAGCCAAGATTCCTAGACTACGTCTTTTTTTTTTCTTTTTCGGGGAGAGACATATTGCATGTGTGAGAGTGACAAGACAAGAGTGAGTCAATTTCTCAGCACCTTAGACTTCAGTGCGCCATCAGATGTCTGAAAGCTGCTGTTCCTGTTCATTCTGAGCCTTCAGCTGCAGCCATGTGGCTGTACTTGTTTATGTCTCACTGCTTCGTCTGCTTTTGGATCTGTCTGCCAGGATAATTTGGCTCCTGTTGTTTTTGTTGCCTTTATGCTTGTGTGGAGTTTTTTTTTTTTTTTTTTTGGATGACAGGTTGGACAGGCCTCAGTTTCGGGTGCGTCAGTGCGACTGAGGTCCACTCCCTCTCACACAAACATGCTGAGCGTGCAGTTGGCATCTCTAAACGCACGATCACACGGACGCACGCGCTCGCGGGGAGAGGGAAGTTGCTACGAGAAGATGTGCAACACAACTCCCGTGCCGGGATTTTGACTCTGGGCCGTGAGGTTTTAGATCTAATCGGCTGCCTTGTTTTCACTCTTCTTTGAGTTAAAAATGCATTAGCAGGCAAATAAGGCATTTACCTCCCTCCTCCTCTCTTGATGGCAATTAAAACAAAGAGAAGAACATGCTCATATAGAACAACATCATTGCTGATAATTACCTTGGAGTAGCACTGACCAACCTGGGCGGGGGGTAGCAGGGAGCAGCGGCCTGAGGTGCACCGCTGTGTTCTCTGTGTGTTTGTGTATGTGTGTGTGTGTTCACCCCTTGTTTGCTATTGCTGCCATGCAAGGCAACATTTAGGGAGTACAGTAACACTGGCTTGGGACTTCTTGGTCTCATTGTGTGTGTGTTGGGCTATTTATAGTGAGTCAGGCACCGAGCCAGATGTGTACCTTATTCACTTGTATCGCTCTGTCCTCCAGCTTCTCCACATGCCTGGCTTCCCCTCATTCTCAGCTCCTACAGAGAGCAGCTGTCACAAAACATTTTCACCCTGAATGACAAGGGAGGGAGGGGTGACGGGAGGGACTTCATTGTGCTAGGACAGGAGATGGTCACGTCAGGGGGGAAGCCAGAGGGGGGAGCGACAACCTGGAATCACTACTGATTTACAGTGCTGTTATCTCATTACTCTCCCTGCATTGCCAGTTTGTTTTTCCCTTTGTCGGTGCAATTCTCCAACACGGAAATGATGGCTCTGTGCAGACACTGAGCAAGAGCATGAGTGGAATGAAGAAGCACGATATAAGTTGTATAGTAAGTGAAAGTGTCAAGGGGGAAACGGAGACTATAAATATGTGACGAGACAGGAGCGATTTTAAAAGAAAAGAGGCACGATTAGGCCAAAATGGAGACGTAATAGATTGGATTGGGAAAGGCAGGGCGGAAGCTGCCACAATCGGCATGTTAAAAGCAATGCAATGATTATATTTTACATAAAACTTGACAAATTAAAGGGAAGACTAGTGTTTTAGTAGTAACTTCAGTACTTCTTGGCATTCATTCTCCAAGGGTCTGTAACTTCCCTGGAAAAAATCAACACAGTTAAATCAAAAGATATTCCCTCATTTTGTGTTTTGATGGCGCTGGTGGACAGTGCTAACACTTGGTACAAAATCTCCCGTAGGTGTTTAATTATTTTGAGCTCTGCTGACTGTGAAGCATATAATTCATATCATTTTCATTCTCATCAAAACAGTGAGCCCGCGTGCCCTATAGACGGGGGGAGTTGTCATTCTGGGAAAGAGGACTGCCATCGTGATAGAAGCTTATAATGATAGGATAATAATGATCGCTCAGAACAACTTTGTACAGATTTGTAATGACACGTTCCTCTCGGGGGGCAAACCACACCAGCAAAAATATCTAGTTCAGCACAATAGAGCCACCAAATGCTTTCACTCCAGAGGCCATGGCGTCAGGTGTTTCTTTGATGTGTCACCAAGAGCCAGGTTGGGTAACAACTGCCATTATCGTGTCCCGTGGTTTTTTAATCAGGTACTAACAAAATGCTGATTTAACTCTAATTATTAGAGTTATTAATAATACTTATTAATGGCCAATTAATAAGGATTAATGGGCCATTTTAACTCTAGTAGCCACCGCAGGTACTCCTGTACAGTTACACCTTGCTAGAAACCACTTTAAGCTGATGTGAGCTTTGGGAACCACCCTGAACCATTGATATACAAGGCAGGACAGATCCATGCTTTCATGACAATTACACCAAATTCTGAGACTCATCAAACCAGGCAATGTTTTTCCACGGTCCAATTTTGTTAAGCCTGTGCTTTAAGGCTGTGTTTTGCATTCAGCCATGCTCTTCTGCATACCTTAGCTATGACGAGTGGTTATGCTGTTGCTGTGCTTAACCTCAAAGCAGTCTGGCCAATCTCCTCGGGCATTTTCGCCCAGTGAAGTGCTGCTCGCTGGATATATCTCTTTAAAAGTCAACAGAGAGTAAAAAGCAATATAGAGCTGTATTATGTTTCTCTACTGATATCTCTAGAATCCCTGTTTGTTCTTATTCTGTAATAAATTCAGGTGTATTAACCCCACCCTTTATAAATACATTTATTATAAAGGGTATACGACAGTGTTTTTAAAGTTTTATATTGCATGTTGGTAATCGGGCTTAGTTTATCCATTTTGAGGAATAAAATGATCGATTCCAATGTTCCTATGCAAACAAATATCTCTCAACAGTGAATTATTCAAATTTGTTGAATTTGATTTTCATGCCATCCATTAATGATAGAACTGGAAAAAACATGCGACTGAGCCTTTTCTGTGTCTGTGCTGGTCTAAAGGAGCTCAGCAGTGAGCTGCAAATGTGTCTGTGAGTGCTGTCATTAGAATAGGATTCACCTTGGCCATCTGGAGACTTGGGCTCTAATCTGTTCCTCTAATTATCAGTAATCTGAACAGTCAGGATTGGTCTTAGTGCTGCAGCCCAGGATAGGGTTGGACTTTGCTGAAAGCAGGCAGGAAGAAAGAGGAAGCAGGTGGCACAGTAGCTGCAGGAGCTGAGGGGTGCCAGGATGGACTTTAGGGTGCTTATGCAGGCTGGTTATGCCCTGTGGGAGCCAGGTAGCAGCTCAGGGTTTTGAAAGGAAAGCAAAGATAAAGAGGAGGTACTTGAGGCAGGTGAATCAGCAGACACTCAGACTGAATACGTGCAAGCATGCAGAAATAAGAAAAATGTCCTGGTCTTTTCTAAATGCAGTGAAACACCGTATCTGTTAGTCATTTAGCGCTTGTAAATTTGTTCCAGACCTTTCCCACTATTTCACCCTCTCTTTCCTCTGACCTTTACTCCCCTTTTTAAGTTTTCTTACATAGCAGCAACTCTCTGGTCTCCAGCTGTTTACATCAGGCATTTCCTCCACATTATGCAGATTGACAGATTTGTAATTGCTCGGAGACTTGTGAGCGCACTCCAGTGATTTTGACATAGGCAGCTCTGTTTATGCCCCAGCATGTAAAGTTGATGTGAAGAATAGAATATTACTATGTCTGATTACACCCCCGTATGTATTTGCTTGTCGTCAATCAGAGATAAAAAGGACAATGAAAGAGGCGACTGTAGGAGGCGACGCTCGCACTGTCATTAGGCACCATGCAGATCGTTTGACAAAACAGAGATGGAAATCTGAGCTGAATACGAGGTAATTAGATATGGAGCATGCTGCAATTGGCAAAACTATGTAGCGTGCAGTTTCCTTTGAAACAGCAGGATACAGCCATATGTACATCTCCACAAAGGATAAAATGCTCCTCTCAGTCTGAGAGACATTACTATGCATTTGTGCAGCTCTGGCTCCTGCACATCATTGTGGCGTTTCCATGGAGATGATGATGTCCTCTTGTTTGCCAGTCTCTCCATCCTCAGGCCACGACACCTGTCAGCGGTCGCAGTGAATTTTAAAAAGTACCCGCAGGCTGATTGACGAGGTCGTGTTTAAGCCAATTCAATGGCTGCTGATACGCAGCTTTTTTTCTACACTCATCTACTGTTTTTAGGATTTCAATTAAATTTTTATTAATTGACCTTGTGTGAGTAGCAGATATATTTTGACGAAACATCCAAGCACAACAAAGCATTTAGGGACAGTGCAATATGAAAGTTTTTCCTCTTAAACCAACATATCTTAAACATTTGTAGGCTACTAACAGACACTGTAAAAGATGGCTGCAGCCACTATGATGTCACCTGCTGTTAAAAAGCCTCATATTGAACATTGTCTCCATCACCATTTTGTTGTTATGAAACTAAACTTGATGAGGGTAGAACACTTCTCACTGTGAAACCAACGAAAGTGCACATGTTCCAAGTTCAATATTGCAACTTGCTAATGACGTTGAGCATTCAGTTAGTGTTAGCCAAGAAGTTAGCTAATGCTTTTATAAATTATCACTAGCAAACCAACATTAGTAACCTAAATTTGGCCTGACTTGATAAAATATTTATTATATTGTATAACTTAATAAAGAAAACACTTGAAATGCTTACTATTTCTTCTAGAAGATAGTTTCATATAAACATCGCAACGCTATGACATGACAACTACATTGACATGGACAGACATTATGATGATGCAGGAACAACATCAGCACTGGGATATCAGCTCTTATACAGAGTGTATATACATCTTTTTTAATTTGTAAAACAGACATAACGCTTTATTCAGCATGAACTCATTTTTTTTTCTATAAAAAGAGTAGTAGCCCCCTCCTAGCCATTAAAAAGAAAACACATTTGAGGCACACCAGCATTGGCTTAGTTTTTAGAAATGGAAACAAAGTCCATCTATCGTGCTGTCTATGTACAGCATTAGCAGTTTCAGATGTTTGTCCCTTGAATATTTAACTTATAAAATTATTCAGTTCAATGAACTTTTAGTAGCATGGAAATTTGAGGTTTAGCTTGCTAATTATTCCCTCTAGCCATTACTTCCCAGCTTTGTTATGGCAACATCTGTGCGCTTCGGCTTCAGGGCACAATCCTAGCAAAGACCTGACACGGGACCTGAGAGATCATCAGTTGATCCATCAACTGTTCATCAAAGCCTCATCAGAAATGGTCTCAGTGGTGGGGTGGCTGTCAAGAAGCCATTCTTAAAGAAGGAAAGCAGGGAGAAAAGGCTGAGCTATGCACACGAGAACTATTGGCCTCCCCAGATCCCAGATTTCAGCCGCAAACATGAAGTCACACAGCAGTCTGTGAACATACTAAAGCCTTGACTTTAGTTTGATGGTGACCTTGGTGTGTTTGGAGCAAAAAGTGAACATTTCAACAAGGAAAGAATTAGCAATCATCAGCTATCAGAGAGCGTTATCAGCTAACATTAGCATGTTTGGTTAGCAAAATGTCAACAGAGCCTATATGGCACAGATACCAGTTAATCAGTTCTTACTAACATACTGATAAAAATCCCAGTATTTACCTCGCCAAAGATGGAACATGGACTTCTTAGAACTGTTAACCACACAGTCAGCCATGCTATTTGTCTGATATTATTGCATTAAAATAGTCATTGACATAACAAACAGTAGCGGTGAAGCTAGCTAGCAACACAGCCGCCTGTATCAGCAGCTACCTGTCGCTCAAAGTGGCCACTAATATTAAAAATTACTACTGATTAAAAAGGATCACGTCCTCTCCTGTTGTTATAAAGTGGGTAAATTAGCCATACAGACTAAAAGCATTTTTTGCACCACGATGTAAACATTTATTTCTGCTCAAAAGCTGGGCATTTTATAATGACGATGATTTGTTCAAGTGGCCATTTGACATTTATCATTGCCTTTTTTAACCTCTTTATAATTACACAAGTCAAAGAAAATCCTTTATTTTTATTTCAATTGACTGTTAATATAAACCCAGCTTTATTTAAGGCCCTACAAGCTGTTTCATGGCTTTATTTAGTCTCCGTGTGGGAATAAATGGTGCGCTTTGATTTGACCAAAATGAAAGATCCAGGTGACAGCATTACAAACAGCGGAGGAGACGTTTTGTTAGAGAGAGGTGATAAACCCCGGCAACAGTGACACATTAGAGTTGCTAATAGCAGTAATGATGGCAACGCAGGGATGTGACACACTGAACAGATGGGAAAGGCAAAAAAGGAGGTGGGGCGGGTGATGTGTGCGAAAAAGCTCTAGCTTTTGCATATATCCCTGGAGAAGTGGCCCGGGGAAAGGGTTGAGTGCACTCTCTTGCTGTTCTCCTCCATAAGGCTTAGTGGTGGAGGAGGAACGCACGGAGCCCTTCCCCCAGTGGATTACTCCTCTGACACTACTAAGCCCCCATACTCCCACGTTCAGGAAGCCCACAAACACATGCATTCATCATGAAGACACTGAATGCACCAAATGCACAAGCACACACAGCGGAGAACATCTTTCTACCCCGCTCCCTCCTCCCCCTACATCCTTTCTTTCCCTCCGTCTTTAGCCGTCCTCCTTTTCATGCCCAGAATAACGACACACACAAACAAACGCATCTGCCCATTCGCAAGCACACCTACACATGCACACACACATACGCTTATATATGCATGCCCAGGCACACACAGCTGACACTGGCTTGCTCTCGCACACTAGCTTGAGCACTTTCTGTCACACACTCACATTCAGGTATTCAGAAAGCCAAGGAGCTGGGAGAATATGCCGTGCCGCCTCCGTTTGACACAAGCAGCTTTTGCCGTTATGTAAGGCTGGTTAGCGTAATGATAAGCTCTGCTGAAGGAAACAGTGCAGCCCGTTGTGTGTCATGGTATGTCTGTGAGCATGTCTGTGTGTGTATATGTGTGTGTGTGAGCACGTGTGTGCTTGTCGCACTGAACATGTTTGAGAGTGCTTAACTGTTCATTTGCATTTTCATGCACTATACCTGCATGCTTCACAGCCAGTGGAAATGGGAGTGATCACAGGAGTAGGTTTCATTGGTAAATGGAAAGAGATACATTAGTTGTGGGGTCTCAGGGTCTTCCCCCAGGAAACTTTGAGCTCCACATACTTCGTTTCTTGCATTCTGATGGATTTTTTCACCCCTTTGCATTTTTTTCTGCATCAGTTTCTGGTAGACTTTTCTAGAATGGGAAATAGTCAGTCTGACCCCCAAGGTAACAGTCCAAGTATGCTTTTTTTTCTTATTTAATATGATCCATGTTGCATCAACACACACATTGAAGTCATGTGATGGCTAACCATGTGACGTTAACTTGTCTGTCATTTTGGACATGTGACAATTATGGTATGCTCTGGAGCGAGGTACACACAAGAGAGAAGAGGAATGAAAGTTGATGAAAGCAAGAGAAAATACACGTGTGTGAATGAGAGGGAGACACATGGAAATATGAGTATGCAAGGAGCAGAACTAGTGAAGGTGGAAGAATTTAAATGCCTTGGGTCAATGACCCAAAGCCACAGACAGTGTGCTAGAGAGGTGAAGAAGAAGAAGAAGAAGAAGAAGAAGAAGAAGAAGAAGAAGGGCATCTTTGAGACCAGTGTTAGGGTGATTTGTGACACAAGGATAGCAGCAAGAGTGAAAGAGAAGGCTTACAAGGTGATGTATGATTTGGAGATGGTGGGACAGACAAAAAAAAACAGAAGGTGGAGCTGGAGGTGGCAGAATTAAAGATGCTAAGATATTCATTGGGAGTGATCAGGATGAACTAAATTAGCAATGAGTACATCAGAGGGACTGCTTGAAGCAGTTTGGAGACAAAGTTGGAAAGGCAAGGCTGAGATGGTTTGGACATGTGCAGAGAAGTGATAGAGAATGTATTGGACAAAGTTGAGAGTTGATGGTGGCGCTTCCAGGGAGGAAGAAAAGAAAAAGACCTCAGTGGAAGTTCATGGATGTAGTGAAGGTGGACATGCAGAGGATTGGTATGACAGAGGAGGATGATAAACATAGGGTCAGATGGAGGCAGATAATTGGCTTTGACAGATTATCTCATCCATCTAAAGAGAGCATCAAATAGATGAAGAAGGCAGTCATGGTGACAAGTGGGTTTAGTGACTAAGGTCCTAATCACAAAGCCCTAGAGACCATCTGTCCATGACCACCCAGGACTGTTTATGAGAAGAAGATGTGTATTCCTCGACAGGTTGGCAAGTGGTTGCTGTATGTTCATGGGAGTCACTAAAACCCCAGTCAAACAGACATGGAGGCTGGTAGTTGACCTCCTGGCAACCACCATCAAAACAGAAAGATGTGCATTTCTAAACAGTTGGTAAAAACTACTTTGTGGACGCTTTAATCACTAATGATTGCTATGGCTGACCATAGTTTCCATGCAAACTTGCCTACAAACACTCACCAGCTACTCTGCGAGTGGTAATTAAATTGTGCAAAGTGAGGCAGAAACCAGAAAAGGACACGTTTGCCTTTTTTCCTTCAAAATAAAATGGTTGCAGTGCAGAGGCAACCAATTTGAGACCTGCAAATGAATGGTCTCCATTTCCAAGCAACCAAAAGGAAGGTTTTGGTGCAACATCCTCCTTGGGACCATTTTCACCCTGTGAGAGCCAGCAACCTCCAGCTACCCTTCATGGAAAAGACATTTTTCCTTTCGTGACTGGTGGTTGTATCAAATCCTATCTGGTTGAAAATGTCATGTCAGAACCCTATATCGACATTTGTGTTTGTGTTTGCCTGGATCATCGTGTTATGAACTCCCAATACCTGTTCAAAAATTTTAAAGACCTCTTGCTGAGGAAGAAAAACATTTCCTGCTGAGTAGTATTGTAGCACAGTGTTTAGCTTGCTCCCATATAATGTGAATGACGGGATAAATGTTTTGCTCATTCAAATGCTTCATACTGTTTAACGTCCAGCCTAAGAAAGAACATAATATTCAACAAAGTGGATCGCATGACAAAACAGTTTGAGAATACATAACAAATATACAATATAGTGAGATTTAACATTATCTGTGGTCAAAATGTGAGATTAGTATAAAAGTGAAGACACATTTTTAAGCGCATTCACTTTAAGGTAGACGCAGGTGCTTTCTGTGATTTCAGAGAAATCAGAGCGTGTGTGCCATCATGCACGCAGCAAAAATCAAAGGGCAGGGAGAGGCTGATTGCTTGCTCAGTGGTTTCATTAAAAATAAATAAATAAAGAGAGGGAGAGAGATAGAACCTGCATTTGAAAATGGTACATTGGTTTTCAAAGACCGTGAGGTACACAATGTACACACACTCTAGTTTTTCCAAGAAGTGCCACAGCAGCAGCATCCTCAGTTCTCACACAGAGATGAGATGAAAAATCAACACGCTGTGAAAAAAAAAAAGCTTCTTAAGCTTTTGGTCAGGAGGTTTCAAGCCATCCGTTCAGCGCCAGTATTTATCTTCACAGATAAACAATCATGCAACCAAAGGTAATTTAAAACTGAAAAAAGCAGTGAAACTGCCCTCCACTCTCCTCATCTCTCACGCTGAGCTCCATTCTCTGCTAATTATTTCCTCTATAATGCTCCTACATGCTCTTGTGCCAGTGTGTGTTTACTTTTGTACTCTTGGAGACAAAAAACTGTAACGCTGAAGACTCAGGTGTTTGTTTCTGTGCCAGCTGCACACTACTGACACACTCTGATAAAGAAGAGGGAGTAAAAAAAAAAAAGAAAGGCAGGTGAAATGTAATCAAATTTTTGTGGAAAGCTTCCCAGGTGGCTGAGACCTGTATTCAAACAGAGCGGACATCTGAATGTAAATGCTTGTTATTCGTATACGTTTCATTTTTATGGGAACGCTTGTCGGTGAATGGTAAATGAGAAAAGCAGTACAACTCTGAAGCCTGTAAATCGAACGCATTGCTGGATCCAGAGAGTGATTAGCTTAGCTTATTTTAGCATACAGACTAGAAAGAGGAAAACAGCAAAGCCTGACTGAGTCCAAAGATTGTTACGCCTACAGGCACCTTTAAAGCTCCCTAGTTAACCTGTGCTCAAGTCAAATCCAGTACTTATATATAGTGTACATTACTTTCCTGGCAAACTCACCATGACTACAGGACTGTGGGAGGTCGTTATGCCCTCCAGTCTTTCAGGCAAGAACTAGTATTCTAGAATGCCGTCCCTATTGCTTTTAAGCTAAGCTAATCAGCTGGATTTGTCTGTGTATTTACTAAACATATGTAGCCTATTGTATAGACACAGTAGCAATATTTTTATTTCACTATAAGCAGGAAAAGATTTGAAATCAGCATAAATTTAGCTCATAAATATATATTTTTTCTTTTTTCTGCAGGGAGTTCATCAGATATTTCCAAGGCAATGATCTCTGACCCCCCAGCAGTGACTACCACTGAAGCAGTGACCTCTAAACCCACTGCCGCACCCACACTGTCAGCCACAGCAGAAACCAGCAGCAGTGGCCGAACCCAAAGCCTTCCTGAAACCAGCACCATCCCAACACTGGACCTCCGAAACCCGCTTCCTCCTCCCCTAACACCTCCCCCACCTCCTCCTCCTGCGCCAGACATCCCCGACCTTCCACTGCCATCACCCCCGGTCTTCCCCCTTCCTCTGCCTTCATCCAAACCTTCTTCATCATCCAGTCCTCCTTCTCCTCCATCGCCGCCTCCCGCTGACAGCCCCCAGCGTCCTACCACGCTCAACCTAAAGACGCTTCCACGTCCCAGCGTCAGGGAGAACGGCTGCCCCCCGCCTGGGCTGGATGAGGATGAGGATGAGAGGAAAATGCTGGAGGAGGATTTGAAGAAATGCATTGAGGACTTTAAAAAGATTCGCATGCCCAAAGTTTTTCCAGATCGCAAGAGGCACTGGCAAAGGGACTTGCTAAAGAAGTACAATGCATAGAGAGCTTTGTTGTGGCATCTTAAGGAGCAAACCTGACAAGGACTTTAAAACAATGGCGAGGACATGCTGCTAGCGGCATACTCTGGCTTTATATTTACATCGCTTTGATTCTAACTTTGTGAAGAGTGTCAGCAAAAAACCTCTAATGTAGCTTTTGCATGTCAACAGAAGTGAACTGCTAAAGTATAGTTCTCCAGCTGAGCTTGTCTAGCAGACATGCACTACATTTGATGTGTTTACCCAGCATAGAAAACATTCACGTCCAGATTGTGAGTCATACTTATGTTTTTCCCTCACAAGTTTTTTTTTTTTTTTTTGGAATAGAAAAAATATTTGGACTCATTTTCTTTTCACTCAGTCAAACAATATTAATTGGAGCTTTCTGCCCTTCTCCCTGTACCATGTCTGCTGATCAAGCAACTGGAAAATGTAAGCAAAGTTTGAAATTTTAGGCGTTTGACCTTAATGATGCAAAAATAAAAGACAGAAGTGAAATCTCTGGTGCTAATCATCTAAAACGTCTCACCTCATCAATATTAACTGTATGACTTCAAAGCCCTTCTACAGTACTCCTTTCTGCCTCTGATTCAGAAGCGTTGCAATTTCGTTCTTTTTGTGATTACATTATCTTCCAGCCCGCACTGTTGGAACGAGGGGGGGAATCAGAAAGAGAAAGCGGTGTACCAGGAAGGGAAGTGGGTAATTACAGGCAGCCAGAATGTGGAATAATAATGACAATAATGACTACATGAAGCAATGCACAGTACCATTTGTTCCTCTATCTGCTCTACATAAAATGCTCATCCAGCTGCACTAATGAATTACCAGGTGTGTGTGTGTGTGTGTGTAAGTGTAGTCCCATTATGGGCTAAATGATTTAAGTCCATAAAAATAAGGGGAAAGAATTTATTTTACATTTACTTTGTGAATTAATTCTGAACATCGCAGTATTCAACCATTTAACAAGCAGTAATATCATTCTGGAAAATGTGCGTACTTTCACTCTGACACGAGAAGGAGACTCTCCCGCAGTACGGAGCTTGGTGGTTAGCTTAGCTTAGCCTAGCAATAAAACTGGCAACTGGGAAATGGCTTGCTTTGAAAACCAGCTTGCCACCACCTCTGCAGCTCTTTTGTAACATGCTGCATTTAACATTTATACAAAAAAACACTTAAATCTTAAACCTGGCTTTAAAGTGTACATTTGAACTCTAAAGAGTGCCTGCTTCTACTTTGTATGCCATAGTATGCTACTTTGTCAGTTTCTAGCTCCTGATTATTCACAGGCACTAAAAAACGCAAGTACACACTGTGCAGTTCTAGGGTTTAATGTATGAGGATATGATAAAATATAATCTGGTCCTTGGGAGGTCTTAAAGTGATGTACATGCAGCTCAGATGAACAATAAAACATAACATATCACACTGTGTCATTATGTATTTAATAAAAATTAGGCCAAACTACAGAAGCAGTGTGTGAAAGAATAAGTACACCCTTAAAGCACCAGTATACCCTCGAATTGGTTGCTTTTGAACGGCACTGCATTATCACACAGCTACTTCTATTTATGCATTAAGGCGCAGGAAGCCACTGCAGTTTTCTCCTGAATCATAGGTGCTGATATTGGAGGACATGAAGTCAAAAAATATGTGTACATTTCTCAGCTTCTGTACTGGAATATCATTAAGATGGTGGCAAAAACTGGCACGATGGTACACCCGTGTCTTCAATTCAGCTGTGGCAGCGGCGGGGTTACGAAGAAGTGAACAGTTGGCCAAAGCGTTACAAATACATTGGTATGCGCCACAGGATGTGGCGTCAAACTAGGCGTGCGTCACACATTACTGGGGGGGGGGAGCACGGCGAGCATGAAAACACCATTAGTGCTTCTACTGGAGTGTGAGTAGATCAGACTGTGCAACACTCAATAATAACTGCAATAAAACATTTCACACTCTGAAAGCCATCGCTTCTGCTGATCTAAAGTTGTGTCACAGTGGCAGCAGGATAAGTAGGGTATTCCTGATCACCTTTTCCCCAGCCAACTACCCCACAAACTGTTCCCAGTTGGGCATACTTTGAAAACCTCCAAAAGCGAAACACCCAGGAGGAATCCAAACCAAATCACATTCCCACATCTACTTCCCATACTAGCCCATCAGCAGCAGTCTGTCTCCTGACCCCCAACGGAATAAATCTGATGTTAAATTAAATTAAGAACATTAAATACACCGACCCTTAAAACTGCTGGTGTGAAAGAGGCTTACTGGAACTCATAATTATATGATGTCTGAGTTTCAAATTGTCGACACTTACACTATTTGTTACCGAAATACACACTAATAAGTTAATAAGTAATGTGTCTCGTGCCCAGCACAGTTTTACAGCTGTGGGGTGTTGAGCCACAAAAAAACAAAAAACAAACCCTCCTTCTTCTTCTTCTTAAAAGTTACTCACCATAATGACTCTTGCCTAATTACTTTTCTCCAATTGCAACTTAACACACAAAATTCTTTTGAATTTTTAAAACCTTTTTGATAAACTTTCCTCCATGTCTACGCCAGCATCCTGTTTCCAGTGATGCAAGAGAACATCAGACCTTTGTTTTGATTTGACAAAAACACCCATGTTTCATTTGCTTTCATATTAAGCTTCTACCGAGCAATAAATATTACACAGAGCCTCGAGTATATATATATGTACACACAGTAGAGTTTTGACTTAATGAATGCAGCTTTGAGGATGTTTTTATGAGTAATTCTTTCCTTTTTGATCATTTTATTTCTCTGCCTGCCTCATTTGAACTGATGTAACCTGTTGCTTTTCCATTAGGCCCATGATGAGACCCGGTGGCTGTCTCTGGTTAGAAGTCCTAATGATGTTGCCTTATCCTAGCACTTTCCATCAGCACTTTGCCTCCAGCCTGATGCATTTTAGCTTGGGTTAATATTGCGGTTAAGGCTTTAATCCTTGAGTGTTGGTTGAGAGGGAAGTTAAACATGGTTAAGTAAACAGAATAGTTTTATCGGGCACTGGTACCTGCTAAGCAGCACTAGAGATATCCTCTGGCTCTTAGCAGAGGATTAGCAACAGATTAAGGTTTTCACAGTCCAAAAGAGTCGCCAAAGAGATAGCTCCTTTTAACAGCTACATAATGACAACAATTTATGCCATCCAGTCAGTCCAACCATATTTCACACCGACATCAACACTCAGGACAGCTCCGACTGGCTGCTGATTGCTGAGAAATCCATAGTAAAGATTCCGCATTGAAGCTCATTAGAGAGTATTGCCTCATCAGCTCCTTTTCTCCACTTTTCTAATCTTTCAACATTGCCTTGGATGGCGACAGTGTGTTGGCCAGTCTCCCGGGCTCAATGGAGTGTCACCATGAGCTTCGTGAGTCAGATCACATGCAGAGGACTGAAAAGATGAGCCTCTCTAATTTAAAATTCCATATTTACTGTCGCAGAAGTTGCTCAGGCTGCTGTGTTTGAGTCATGTTAGACAAAATAGGCATCTTGCATCCAAAAACAAAGCTCTTGATTTGCATTTGGGTCTCTTCATAAGAAACTGATCACTTCCCAATTCTCTTTCACCCTTTGTCTTTTTCTTCTTCTTTTTTTTGGTATAACCTCCTGAAGCTGGCCCCTTGACTTATTACAGATGCACCAAGAGGATTTGATCTCTGAAGTCGAGAGGCTTAGCCCTCCAACAAAGGGAATACTTATCCTTTGAAATAAAGAGGTAAAGCAGTCTAGTGGGACCGGGACTGACAGAAAACATTCTTAGACAGAATATTTAACCATGTGAGATCAATCTCAGCAATTGTAGCTATACGGTGATGATTAGCGGACCGGGGAATACCATCAAGTCTTTCTTTAAAGTCACTTCCTAAAGTTTTTACTGGATTGCAACTAGTGTGCCCTGGATTCAGGATTTCTCTGGATTTCTCTAAGCGATATGCCATAATGAGTAATCAGAAAAAGTGAGAGATCCATGAGGCGTTCTCAAAGGAACCAGTCATCTGTTTTCAGGTAATGTCCTGTAGACCACAGCAGCCCCGAGCAACAACAGTGAGTGTCAGAGTGGGGAAAGCTGCCACTAACTTATCTGTTTCTCCCCTTTTTTTGCTGACACATGGGGCGCCTTGCATTTGCATAAAAAGAGCACCTTGCAGATTTATTTCAAATGGCCAGCAATACATTAGCATCTCATTTCTTCTGGGCATGAGTTATCTTCAGTATAGTCAGCTCTCCTGACAATTAAAGCACAGCTGAAAGTGATCCTCGTGAAATACAATGTTGCAGTGAGAGCGGGGATACTTCAGCATCTCAGCAGTCAAGAAGAGCTTCACATTTTAAGATAGAAATATTTTGTGCAAGTAGTATGTGCTAATAAAATTAGGCTTTAGAGGAGATAAGAGAAGTGAGGCCTAATTATTATGCCTAAAACGGAAGCTGGCAGTCAAGCTGTCTAACACACTTGAAGGATCATTTCTGAAACATTCTGCAGTTTTTTTTTTCTTTATCGGGGTTTTGGAGTGACCCGAATCAGACTGCTTTGATGCAGTTATTCTAAGAGGCAATCGCTACTTTGGCATGAGTTGAAATCATTGAGTGCAAAGATCCTGAATGATTTAAAAAAAAGTCTTATCATTATACGATACTCCGAGTGCAAAACTCGATGTACTGCAGCTTAGTAAGGCACTTAATCAGGGTTGAATCAGAGTAGCTGACTCACACCCTTGAATAACAGATCGGACTTTTTACATCTGTTGATGCATGTGTGCTTGGGCAAGTTTGGGTGGGGGGGGGGTTAATTTTATGGTTGCAAGTGGCTATAGCAGCTTTTATTTTACACCAAGGAAAGCTGCAAAGATAACATTAATCACGCGAATGTGCCCTACAAGACCAGATAAATATAAACAATGACCTCAATTTTCTTCCCTTTATTTTGTGGCATTAAGTGATTATGCAACGTCCCAGATGCAGACCTGATTATACAAGTTCAGGTTATTTTGGAAGTCTGATTACTGTGAGTCATGCATTGTAAAGTGTTTCAACCAGACTATTACCTTAATCTTGTTATTTACAGTCCACAAGTTAGCATGTGAGTGCAAACGTGAATGTGTGTGTTTGTGTGGACAATAATGGAAGTGCAGTCCAGTCCATATAACATGTAATTGTTAACCAGCGCGGCTGCATTGCTTTGAGAAAACATGTGCTTGCACATAAGTGTCCTTTAAACAAATGTTCTTTAATGGAAAGAAGCTGGCCATCCCTGGAGGTGT